TGAATCTCTTCATGCCCAGACCCCTTACCTCACCACTCACCCTCTCCCTGCCCCTTCCCCCCCCCTCTCCGCCTTCCTTCACCCTCCCCATGCCTCCCTCCCTCCCCGCCATCCTCTCCCTCCCGCTTCCCCTCTGCCAGAGAGGCAAAGCATGGGAGGGTGGGGTGGGCAACCTTTAATCGGATCCGTCTTCTGACTGTGTCTGACACTTAGCCACTTTTCAGTGCTTTCTACTCTCCCGCAAAGAGGTGAGCTTCGGTGCAATTTGAGAAGACCAAAAGTCACCTTGCAATATCAATCTGGTTAGGTGAGTCATGTGGCTACTTCTGACGTGAGGTTGAAACATGAAGATGGGGAACAGAAACGGGAGAAGGCGGGTGCGTTTTGAGCTGGGAGTGATCCTTGTATCATTCATTCATATTTCCCCAGCTCTGTTTTCAGGTAGCAGGTCAGTATTCAGGCATCGGGTCAGTGTTCAGGTTTTCGGAAGAGCATTCAGGTATTCAGTCAGTATTCAGGTATCCATTCAGTAGTCGTGTATCAGGTTAGCATTTAGGTATCTGGTCAGCATTCAGGTTTCAAGGTCAGGTCATGTCCGTGCCATGCCAAGACAAATCCATGTCATGCCAAGTCAAATCCGTGTCAGTAGAGCTACACTGTGAGATCCCCGATCGATCCTAGGTGGGGTTACAGGCGTGTTCGCCTGGGGGGTTATGGGCGCACTCTGACCCGCTACTTAACAAGCCCTTTTATCCCAATGGTCTAGTGGTTGGGATTCTGACATGGTATCAGAGCGGTCTCGGGCTCGAATCCCGGTGTATGCACATGTTGGCCGTTGCCACTGTGCTCAGTCCTGGGCCTCCCAGTGTGGGGGGGTGTCAGTAGAGCTACACTGTGAGATCCCCGATCGATCCTAGGGGGGGTTACAGGCGCGTTTGCCTGGGGGGTTATGGGCGCACTGACCCGCCACTGAAACAAGCCCTTTCATCCCAATGGTCTAGTGGTTGGGATTCTGACAATCCGTGCCATGCCAAGTCAAATCCGTGCCATGCCAAGTCAAATCCGTGTCATGCCAAGTCAAATCCGTGCCATGCCAAGTCAAATCCGTGCCACATTGTGAAAGCATGCTTGTCACTCTATATGCCCCCACGTGTTTGTGAGGATTTCAAGCATCACCAGTAAGCAGTGTGACCGATATTGCAGCTCAAGCCTTGAAACGATGTCAGAACCACCATTTCGTGCCCCGTTTTCAATCTTTCACCACTCACCCTCTCCCTGCACCCTCATCCTTTCCCCTCCCAAGCCCCTCGCCCTCCCAGTCACCGTCACCCTCTCCCGTCTGCTCCCCTCCCTCAGTGAGGCAAAGCAATGGAGGGTATGGGGGTCCACCTTTCGTTGACTGCGACTTACAGTGAGCTCTCTAACTGCTATTGACACTTGACCGCTTTCCAATTTTATTGAGCTGCTCGCATGCAATCAGGTGAGCCATATCGCTACTTCTGTTTTGTACAGCGTCAATCGAGGTTTTGTGAGGCGGGTTGAGAGTAGTTCAGCAGATCGGTATGTAGGTTGGTATGGAAGTTGGCATTTAGGTTGGCTTTCAACTCACTACTCAGGTCTCAACTCTGGCCAGTATTATTCATGGCAGTATGCAGGTTAGTATTCTACTAAATGCAAGTTTGCGGCTGGAAGGATGTCGTTTTGCTTATCTTTAGCAGGCTGTGCCATCACAACTATCACATGGGCTGACTTGTAGTGAACTCTCTGACGACTTCTGACACTTAACCACTCTCCACTTTTATCAAACTGCTGGCATGCATTCAGGTTGGCATCGGTGACTTTTTGAGTTGACAAAAAGATCACCTCGCAGTCATGCGAACTTTTCTGCTGCATCTGTTTTGTACAGTGCCAAACCAGTTTCTGTAAGGCAGGTTAAAAGCTGCTCAGGTTGAAATTCTGGTCAGTATTCAGGGCAGTAATATTTTATTAGGTATGCCATTTTGCAGCTGGAAGAATGTCATTTCACCAACCTTTTGCAGGCAGTGCCATCACAACAACCATTACATGGGGCAGAGACGACCATGTTTCTTCATCAGACATGTTTCAATTTTAACTTCAGGGCCAACTTCCTAGGCGTCTCAAAATCTCCAATGATGACTGGTAGTTGGCTTGGCAGAATTTGCAATGATGACTACGGTATGTACCGGTACCGCTTAATTTCTTTTTCCTTTGTGTATATGTAAAGTGTAAGCTATTGAGATGCCTAGGCAATTCCAACACACGGTCGCCTCTGAAAAGAGATGCCTGATTCATGTGGCTGATGCTTCTGCGACATAAGAATGACACCCTATGCACCTGTTTCACAAAGTGATGTTGCGGTCGCGTCTCCCGCCACCCTACATGAGCCTGAACCCAGTGGGCTGTTGATGGCCGTCAGTAGCACGTGTGCATAAGACGAGGAGAAATGGTGGCATGTGATGAGCAGAGAAGGTGGGATGGGTGTCAGAATCCCAACCACTAGACCATTGGGATAAAAGGGTTTGTTAAGTAGCGGGTCAGTGCGCCCATAACCCCCCAGGACAACGAGCCAGTAACCCTTCTCTAGGATCAATCGAGGATCACCAGTGGACCTCTGACACACCACCTGCACTGGAATGCCCGAAGTGCACACACTGGGATTCGAACCCGAGACCTTCGCTCTGATACCATATCAGAATCCCAACCATTAGACCATTGGGATAAAAGGGCTTGTTAAGTAGCCGGTCGATGCACCCATAACCCCCTAGGACAACGAGCCTGTAACCCTTCCCTAGGATCAATCGGGGATCACCAGTGGACCTCTGACAATGGGATGAGGAGCAAGATGGTCGGATGGGTTGAGGAGGAGAATTAGTGGGATGGGATGAGGAGGCGGAAAAGTGGGATGAGATGTGGAGAAAAGATGGTGAACATGGGATGAGAAGGGATGGTGGGATGAGATGAGGGGCAGAGATGGTGGGATGGGAAGGAGGTGGAATAGGGGGATGGGATGGGGAGAAAAGTTAGTGACTTCGGGTTTACCTAGAAAGCATTAGTGTCGAGAGTGAGCATGGCGAGAGAATTGGGCAAAAATGGAGGTTTCACTATTGAGCAAGGTACAAATAGGAAACAAGGGAGGTGCACCACATACAGGAAATACCTCAAACACTACAGAAACTACAGCAAATAGTCTATATAATAAACATAAGTTTAACACACCCCCTAAACTGTTAGCTACAGGAACTAGTACAAGGACACCCCATGAAGCGGTACACCAGGCGCAGCGGAAGACAACAGATAGGAATGCGAGGAGGAGACGAGAGAGAGAGAGGGGAGAGGAGAAGAATGAGGAGAGGAGGTGGGGGGAGCCACGCGGCGAGCCCCTCTTACTAACCCCCGTTTTACAAAGGGGGGGTGGGGGGGGGGTGAGAGAGGGAGGAGAGGAGGTGGGGGAAGCCTAGCGTGGTGAGCCCCTCTTACTAACCCCCTAATTCCACGCCCCCTTTCAGCCACCCCCCTCAACCTCACCCCCCTTGTCAACCGCCCCCTGGAACCTCACGCCTTCCCCCCACCCTTCCTCCAAAGCCTTCCCCACCCACGATGGTCCCTACTCAAGCCTTCATACGGCGGCCAAAAACCTGCCACCCCCTCACCCTCCCCCCCACAGCGGCACGTGCGGCAGTGAGAGAGAGAGGAGGAGCGGCGGCAGCTGGGTGCTCACACCCGCCACCCCAAACCCACACCCCGTCACTGTTGCACGCGCAGCAGGGAGAGAGAGGGGAAGGCGAGCGGCAGGGGCAGTAGCTCCTCCCGTCACTCCCACCACTCCACCCTCTCCATCCTCCCCCCCCACAGCAGCAGGTGCGGCCGTGAAAGAGAGAAGAGGAGGGTGGTGCTGTTGGTGCCACCTCCCCCTTACACCCCCTCCCCCTCCCCCCAAACTACTGCACACGCAGAAGGGAGAGGGAATAGAAGGGAGGGGGGGGCGAGGTGTGCGATCTGGTGGGGCGGGTGCGGGCGGGCAGGGCGCACGAGGCGCCGGACAGAGGCGTACGAGGCGTCGGGCAGAAACCGCCGCTGTAGTAGGAGCAGCAGGAGGGGAATGTCAAAATGTTATAATGCTTACATTGTGTAGGCTGTAGTGGGGTAGCCCATAAGGGGTACAACCCAATTAGGGTTAGTACTTGTACCAACTTTCTGCTCAATGCATTCCATTCTCGTTCAGTATTCTGACATGGTATCAGAGCACTGAAGGGGGGGGGGTGCTGGCTTGGTGACGAAGCAGAGCAGCGGGGCGCTGGAGGTGCAACCACCCCCCACGGCCACTCCTGCGTCCCCCCACCACCCTCCTCCCCCCCCCCCCAAACTGCTGCACGCGAAGCAGGAGAGGGAGGAGGAAGCGGGCGGCGGGGACGACAGGAAGCAGGGCAGCGGGGCCCCCGCACGACAGGCAGAAAACCGTCGCACGCTGGGGGCGAGCGACGGGCAGAACACCGTCGCGTGCTGGAGGCGCGCGACGGGCAGAAACCGACGCACGCCCGGGGCGTGCGACGGGCAGAAACCGCCACGCGCTCGGGGCTTGCGATGGGCAGAAACCGCAGCGCGCTCAGGGCGCACGACGGGCAGAAACCGCCGCACGCTCAGGGCGCGCGACGGGCAGGAAACCGACGCGCGCCCGGGGCGCGCGATGGGCAGAAGGGCGCATGAGCGGAAGCATACGATGGGCCCAATGAAGATTAGGTCCTAGAAGGGACCTGCTCTGATAGCATGTTAAAGTAGGCTCTTAACTCTTGACTTAGTGACTTCGGGTTTACCTAGAAAGCATTAGTGTCGAGAGTGAGCATGGCGAGAGAATTGGGCAAAAGTGGAGGTTTCACTATTGAGCAAGGTACAAATAGGAAACAAAGGAGGTGCACCACCTACAGGAAATACCTCAAACACTACAGTAACTACAGCAAACAGTTTATATAATAAACATAAGTTTAACAAGAGATGGTGTGATGGGATGAGAGGCAGAGATGGTGGGATGGGATGAGTGGCGGAATGGTGGGATGGGATGAGGAGATGGTGTGATGGGATGAGGGGCAGAGATGGTGGGATGGGATGAGGAGCAGATATGATGGGATGGGATGAGCAGCAGAGATGGTGGGATGGGATGAGCGGCAGAGATGGTGGGATGAGGAGGTGCAGGGATGGTAGGATGGGATGATGAGCAGAGATGGTGGGATGGGATGAGGAGGCGAAATATTGGGATGGGATGAGGAGAAAAGACGGTGAAAATGGGATGGGAAGGGATGATGTGATGGGATGAGGAGAAGAGATGGTGGGATGGGATGAGGAGCAGATATGATGGGAGAAGGTGAGGTGCAGAGATAGTGGGATGGGATAATGAAAAGAGACGGTGGGATGGGATGGGATGAGGAGCTGAGGTTGTGGGTGGGATGATTAGAGAGATGGTGGAATGGGATGAGGAGCAGAGATGGTGGACGGGATGAGGAGCGAAGACAGCGGGATCGGCTGAGGAGCAGAGATGGTGGGATGGGCTGAGGAGCAGAGATGGTGTGATGGGAAGATGGATAGAGATGGTGGGATGGGATGCGGAGAAGAAATGGTGGGATGGGATGCGGAGAAGAAATGGTGGGATGGGATGGGATGAGGAGAAGAGATGGTGGGACGGAATGAGGTGCAGAGATGGTGGGATGGGTTGAGGAGCATACGGGGATGAGGAGCAGCAATCGTGGGATGGGATGAGGCGCAAAGATGGTGGGATGGGATGAAGAGCATAGATGATGGGATAGGATCATGAAAGAGATGGTGGAATGGGATGAGGAGCAGAGATGGTGGAATGGGATGAGGAGCAGAGATGGTGGGATGAAATGAGGAGCAGAGTCGGGGGGAAGGTACGACTGTGGAACAGAGATGGTGGGATGGTACGAATGAGGAGCCGATGGTGGAATGGGACAGTAACTTACGGTACTCGAGGACAAAGACACATGTAAATAAAAGCATTCTAATACTGCTCCCACTGACGTCCAAGAGTGACTATCAGCCATCTTTCTGGTGTACGGATGCAAGTTATATTTTCATTCTCTGGCCTTTTCCCCGCCCAACCAGCAATATTCACGTCTCTTGTTTTTCTAACAAAAAAAATTATGATAGATGACTCTCGTAAATATGGACTAAATAAAATAATGAAACCACCAACTTGGAACGGTGAATCATGACAATCAGCATGGTTTTGCTACCTCGCGGCCATGTTGTTCCTGTCTTCCAGCTCCTTCTGCACTGCTGACTGCAGCTTGTCAATGAAGCTGTCAGCTGAGCAAGCACCAGGCATGTTGCTTGTAGCATGGGCCAGGAAAGGAAGTTTCCTTAGAATTCGCCCACTAAGCCCCTGCAAGGATGATTGGGTTTAACACGACGCGGACATTACTCCAAACAGCCACTCTTGGCAAATTATAAAACGTACCTCACATGCCTTGGCGACCTCGAGAAGCTTCTTCCCTAAGTGGACACCCTTACTACTCCCCATGTCCTCACTATCACAATCGCTCAGCATCAGTTCGTTGTAAGTGGACGGATCGACAGTGTTGCCCGGTCAGTCATAACAGGAATCAGCTCACAGGAAGATTCAGAGAAGACTGAGATTGCAGAACCACGAATAACACGAGGGCAACTCGTACCTCCACCTCGTCAACAATCCCAACTCGTTGAAGCTCGCAGAAGCTCGAATGCAGCATATTATAACGTCCTTGCAGTGACGGTGGTCCAATAAATGCTTTGATGTCAGCTCGGTCAATGAACGCCAGATCTGAAAAAAAGAAAAAGGGCGCCATTTCATAGACCTTGAAGAACAGAGAATGAACTTTACAAAAATGAGCCAGGACAGACCAATGGCATGTGTCAAATTCGAAGTCGTCAGAACCATGACGTTGGGATGCTGCTTCAGTTTATCAAGCTGAGTCAACAATGCATTCACGACCTGCACACATGCACACAGGAGAATTAACACGCACTCATATCAAGGCCCTGACAGGTCACAGGTCAACATACCCTTATAGCATCCGAGGGATCTGAGCCATTTAGAGCAGCTTGACGTGCCGCAGCTAGGCTCTCAACTTCGTCTGACCAAGGCACAACTTTGGTAAGCACCTCATGGTGCACAGAGGAAGTGGAATAGAATTTGGATCCCCTTACGTACCAATAAGTACGAACACCAATGAACTTTTATCCTCCACAAAAGACTGGATGTGACTGAACAGCTTGCTCACCTGCAACGCAACACAGAACGGACATATGAGACCTTGTTCTCGGCTGGCATTACTATCGCCAACCTAGAACTTACAAGCTTTGCACTTTCGGAGAACCATTTGCTGAAGAGAGAGTGCGCATTCACTTCGATAAGATGAGCTGTCTGATACCTGCAGACTGGTGTTAACGTTCGAACCTTGCATCTGATCGAGCAGTGACAGGAAGCAATATAGTCACCTTTCTTTGAAACGTATAGATAGCTTTTGGGCCAGTGCCTTACTGAATGCAAAAGCAACAAGATAACAGGAAGGGAAGTGGTGGAGAGTGTTTGGACTAAGAATGATCTGTACCAAGTCAAGGCCCCCAAAGACCAAAATGCAGAGAGCGGTATGTAAAAAAAAAGCTTACCACAGAGATGTTTTTCCTGTACCAGGTGGTCCGAACAACAAAACCACCCTGAAAGCTGAAATGGGTCAGTAAGCGTATCAACGCATCACAAACAATCTGGTTGCGTCCATTTACCTGTTCCAAGAAACAAGCTGACAGTTTACGCCTTTCTCTGAAAACAGAAGGGCACTTGCAGCATATCTAAGAAGTCGGTGCTTGATTCCTGAATCATAGACCAGACTGGAAACAAGAAAGCATTCAGAACGATACAACTGACCTGCAGCAACTCTTGTACGAGCAAATCAATTATTTCGAATGTACCTTTCCCAAAGGCCATGGAAATCCTCTGACGGAAGATTCCAAGATTCAAACGAGGCAACCTCTTGCTCTTGTTCCGTGTCTTCAACAGCGCCTCCTCGACACAACTGTACACATTTCAGATTGTATTTGATTTCGTAGGTCACGCCAAAAAAAAGATATAAATCCTCGGGAAATCAGACCTTGAAGATGCTGATCTGAAGATCAACTTGCCAGAAGAGAATAACGTGATTCGCAATAGTTTGCTCATCTGCAATGAACATGCTCGTAAGGACAGCAGTAAATGATAACTGAGGCAGTTTATGACAATCCTTACTTACCAATGTCGACAAAGTGAATTGAAGCTACGTTGTCATCAATGAATGGCTCTTCGCCCGAATTGAGAACAAGAGGTCCATTAGCAAAGACTTGATGCCTATTTGCGAGCAACCTGCACTTAGGAAAAATCTCTATCAGTCACATCAAAAGCCAACAGAGAATGCAAGATATGATCAGGTGAAATTGACCTGTAGATTGATGCACGGACGTCGCTAAAAGAGGCTTCTGAATCTGCTTTGAGGCAAACTTCAACTGCAATACGGAACGACGACTGTTAGATTACAGTCGAGCTTAAACTCCGCGAACCATGCTACGTGAACAAACCTGATATAGGGATTTTTGCCGAAAAGACTGAAGACTCAGCGTCGATGCATGAAACATCCGCGTCTGCCTCTAAGAAGGAATCCATTTGACGGCCAACCTCAAGTGGCTGGTTTGGAAGCGCATTGTAGTCTTCAGCATCCATGGCAGCAGACTAGAATCGACGCGTTGCTTCGTGTTTTAGCTTTCACTACTACATCGTTAGAGAAGACGAGCTATTTCATTCACCTGCAGCGCGCACCAGCAAGTTCCCTAGGTGAAAAAAGGAAGATCGCATGACAGGGAATTCCAGCACTAGCATTGTGTCAATCGTCTACATTTACACGATGGTTATACTTCTGTATACCCCATTACACAAAGCACCCACCCACATTGTTACGGGGTACTTTACTGTTCAAGGGTATTTTACCCTAAACAGTCCCCCAACCCAATCCCAACCTTATCTCCATCCAATCCCTTTGGGATTTGTTACGAATAGTAATTGATGAAACATTACTGTGCACTCCTGACAGGGCCTCAGATTGGTTTTTGTGTACCCTGAGCACTCAGTGTCCCTAGGAGGGTAACACTGATTTTCAGTGTCGTCTAGTGTGAAACCACTGGAAAATCAGGGTTGTTAGAAATAAAACGCTGATCAATCAGGGTTTCTACAACTTCAACACTGATCAGCATAGTTGCTTTACTGGTATGCTGTCATAACACAGCGAATCAGACTGCCCTCACTTTACAATTCCCAAATTCGGCCAGGATTCTGCTATTTCCGTGTCTGATTGGTCAGAAATCTTGTCTGACCAATCGAATAGGACAATTGTTAAGAATTGTTTCTGATCTCTGGTTGTGTACTTGACTGATGATTCGGACTTGGTTCGTCACAGCAGATTCGCCCTGACGGCAAATTCGACCTCGCACAGTCGTTACGCGCTGTCGCAGCACAGCAAATTCGGCCAATCACAGCAGATTTGCCCTGACACAGCAGCAGATTCGCCCCTCACACAAGAGATTCGCCCTGTCAGAGCATGTTTCGCCAGAAATCCCCTTGGTGCACGGTGCACAGTGACGGCGCGCCAAAACAAGGAGTTTTCGGTTTCAGGGTAGACCCCGATACAACACTTACTCGTCAGTGTCCTCAAACACAAAACACTGGAAAATCAGAGTTCGAATTTTAAAAACACTGAAACATCAGGGTCGTTGAAAAAAAAAGGCTGATGCATCAGGGTCATGATAAAAAACGGGGGTCAAACTTCAGGAATTCAGGGTAAAATTCCTGACATCTGAGGCCCTGACTCCTGACAGCAGCAATCGAAGAATGCAGTACCGAGGCTGAAGACGAAAGGGCGGAAGTAACGCGAAGGGTCAGACATGTTGGAAACATATAGTTCGCGCTTCTGATGTGTCGAACACTACAACGTAAGCGAAGCGAACTACAACAGCGAGTCAACCAAAGCGGTTGACAGAAAGACAACAGCAAGAGGTTAAGGGAAGGTCAAAGGTCAGGGACCTTTGACTCGCCGAAAAGCAGCGCGACAGCAAGGATACATAACTGACTCACTATTGAGCAGTTACCCGAGTCGTCGCTGTATCGAACCGCAACAGCAGTTACAGTTAGTTAAACCCTTCATATTCATTTGTAATCATATAAAGCTTTGTATCTCTTTGATATTATCAACTCATATTGTTCTCACATACCAGTGCAAGGTGGTTCAACCAATTCATTAATACGCTTCTGCTAATACATCACTACTCTGAGTCTTAGTCTTGAAAACGATCCTAAGGGCCTTTCTATGCCCAACATGGTTGTCAGAACATTATAGCTTATACATTTGTGTAGGCTGTAGTGGGGTAGCCCATAAGGGGTACAACCCAATTAGGGTTAGTACTTGTACCCAACTGCTTGCAAGTTCATTCATTCTCGTTCGTTACTTTCACATGGTATCAGAGCAGGTCACTTGGGCCCACCACCTACTACGTTGCTAGTACCCCCCTAGGCCCGTCGCTCCTAGCCTTCGCGGCCCGTCGGCCCCTAGCCCCGCGTCCGGCCTTCTTTGAGGGGTGCTCCCCCTCCCCCCTTGCCCCCTCCTACGCCTCTGCTGCTGCTGCAGACGTCTCTGTTGCTGAGGACGTCGGGGCTGCTTCTGCTAGTGCGAAGCGCCACAGCAGCAAGGGCAAGGGTGGCAAGGGTGGTGGAGGTGGCAGCGGTGGTGGTGGAGGTGGCAGCGGGAGTGGTGGTGGGGGCAGCGGTGGAGGTGGTGTAGGCAGTGGAGGTGGTGGAGGCGGTGGGACTGTTGGCGGGAGTGGGGGCTCTGGTGGCAGTGGTGGGGGCAGCGGTGGGAGTGGCTGCAGTGGAGGCGGTGGGACTGGTAGCGGTGGGACTGGCGCTCGGCGTGTCGGTTCTGGGGGTGGCCAGCGTCAGCAGCAGCAGCGTCGGAGTGAGACCCCGTCTCCCCAGCAGCTTCGTGAGTGGTTCCTGCGTGGGGCGTCTGGGGGTAGTTGCCCGTATGTCATTCGCACGGGTGACCGTGCTGGTCAGACTTGCGGGCGGCTCCACACTCAGCACTGCAACTTCTCCCGCCTCGACGACGCTTGGCGTGTTGAGTTTGGTGACGACGCCGAGATCCCTCGCTGGGCAGATCTGCTTAAGTCTAGGATTGCTATCTTTGACCTAGACTTTGATTCTATTCTCTCTGCTATGTATGCTTTGTATGTTAGTGTTGAGGGTGACTGTTACCGGTGTGTGCCGCCTGACCCAGGTATAGCCGCTGCTGCTCTAGGTGCTAGTGAGTCTGGTACTCTCCCTGGTACTGCGCCTGCTGAGGCCTTGCACACTTTCACGTTGGACTCTGGCGCCTCGCGCTATTTCTTTCGTGACAGCACCACCCTCACTCCTCTTCCTGCACCTGTCCGGGTCAGACTGGCTAACCCCTCTGGGGGACCGGTTGTGGCCCGTTCCTCCACTGTCCTCCCGTGTCCGGCGGTTCCGTCCGGCTCACTGTCAGGTCTTCACCTCCCCTCGTTCTCTACGAACTTGGTGAGTACCGCTGCCCTCCAGGATGCGATGGTCACTACTACCACTCCTGGGGGTCAGCGTGTGTCGATCTGCACGTGCACACGGACGGGGTGTCACCTGGCCACGTTCACTCGTCGGCCAGGGTCGAGTCTGTACACACTCACTACCGAGCCTTCTCAGGTAGCTGCGTCAGCTCAGGTGTCAGCGTCAGGTCAGGTAGCCGCCTCTTGCTCGTGTCGCCTCCTGTCGCACCAGACTCTTCTGTAGCACCACCGTCTGGGTCACCCCTCCCTGCCTCGCCTTCGTGGCATGCACTCTCGTCTTCTTGTCTCTGGCCTCCCCAGGTCTCTGCCTCCCCTGCCGCCCTCACCTACCCCGCCGTGCCTCCCTTGCGTCGAGGGGCGGCAGCGCGCCGCTCCTCACTCCTCCTCGTTTCCCCCGACGACTGCTCCCCTGCAGACTCTCCACATGGCCGTGTGGGGCCCAGCCCGCGTCAGTGGACAGAGCCGCGAGCGCTACTTTCTGCTGGTCGTTGACGACTACACGCGGTACACCACGGTCTTCTCCTTGCGCAGCAAGGGTCAGGTCGTTGATGTCTTGATCCCTTGGATCCGCACAGTCCGTCTCCAGCTCCGCGAGCGTTTCGGCCAGGACCTTCTTGTCCTGCGTCTGCACTCTGACAGAGGTGGTGAGTTCTCCTCCACCCTCTTGCGGGACTTTTGTCGTGGGGAGGGCATTCTCCAGTCGTTCACGCTTCCGGACTCCCCTCAGCAAAATGGGATTTTTGAGCGCCGCATTGGCTTAGTCATGGAGGTCGCTCGCACCTCCATGATCCATGCGGCCGCTCCCCATTTTCTGTGGCCGTTTGCGGTCCGGTACGCTGCGCATCAGCTCAACCTCTGGCCCCGTGTCTCCTTGCCGGAGACCTCGC